TATATATATATATACTTCCTCTAGTGTTTTTTATGACCCAACTTTTTAAATTAGTTTGGTCCTTTTTATAAAATTCAATTCAGTATGTATATCTCAACCATTAATATATTATTTACAAAAATATCCTTGTTAATTACATTCATTGACTTAAAAAAAGTAAGTTAAATTCATTTAAATGGAATACAAATAATCTTATTTTTTTTCTTGAATTGCAAAGACTTTGGAAACATATATTAGATACATTAATAATTTAGGAATAGTTTTGAAAGGAAGAAATTTTATATTTAATTGATCTTAACCAATAAAATTAAACTTTTAAATCTTTGTGAATTAATTATTTAAATCCTATAATAAAAATCATAAGAAATATATGCAATCTAAACATCTACCTTCAATCTAAATAAATTGTTAGCCCCCTAGTACTAACTCCAAACATCTACCTTCAATCTAAATCTTAAATTTCTTCATGGATAAGTAATATGCAATTCAACCACAAATCCTTGTTAGAATTGAAATTTGAATCATAATCCTAGACCATCCCAAATTAACTTAAAATAGATATATCTATTTTTTTTTATAAATTCAATATATTAATGCCTTCGTCCCTATATATATAAGATTTTATTCACTTTTTTTCCCTTTTCTCTTTTAATTATTTATTATATTAATTATATTTTCTATAAAATATTCTTATTTTAATTAATAATTATTTTAGATAAAAATAATAACTACTTGAACTTAATTGAATAATTTTTTTTTACTTATTAAAATTTAATAAAATAAATAAACACATAAATATTTCTCTTCTAAACATTAATTAGTTATGCGAAAAATGATTGAATAGATCATGAGAAGATTAATTAAAAATATATTAAACATAATTTTAAAAAAAAGTTTAAATCATGGAAAAATTATTGTAATTAAAACCCGAGGTAATAACACATCTTTAAAAACACGATTACATTAAATGAAAGAATAAAAAAGATTTGATTAAATGTAATCGAAGAGAGAGGGAAGGGTGGAATCGTAATTGAAGAGTTTGACACACGTCACACAGGGACATGTTCCCGAACTCCTCCTCTCTTTAAAAAAAACCCGTCTTAAAAGGTACCAAAACATTTGGGCTAACTTTTCTATTGTCTTGTCCTTTTCACTCTTCACTTTCACTTATTAACTAACCGAGCCGATGGAGCCGGAGGAAACCGCCGTCGCCGTCGCGGACGACGGGAGCGGCGACGAGGGGTTGCTCGGACTCGGCGGCGGCGGAAGCAGCAGCGGCGGCGGCAGGGACAGAGTGAAGGGACCTTGGTCGCCGGAAGAGGACGCCATTCTGAGTCGTCTTGTGAGCAAGTTCGGCGCCAGAAATTGGAGCCTCATCGCGCGCGGGATCAGCGGAAGATCCGGCAAGTCCTGCCGCCTCCGGTGGTGCAACCAGCTCGACCCCGCCGTTAAGCGCAAGCCCTTCACCGGTGCGTAATTGAATTTGAATTTGATTTTGATTTAATTCGAATGTTTTTGGAATTGACCTTTCCAATGTAGGGATGGTAATGCAGTAGCGGAATTGGATGGAATGGTTTGAATTATAGTGTTTTATGTGGGATCTTTCATTTTTTTTAATGGTTGTGTTTTTTGAATTTGCTGTGTGTGTTGTTCTTCCTTAATGGATAGGTCGCAAAACAATTAATTAATTAATTAATTTCACCTTTATTTAATATCACCATGCAATATATTTATTTCGTATTTGAAAATTGTTTGTATGAGCAGTATCAAGGTCTAATGAATTCATTATGAAAAAATTAAATGTATATATATACCTTTAGTAAAACTGCATCGGCAGAGGGGATGGACTTGAACATATCACTTATCATGTTAGTAGATAAGTCATGATGTAAATGATGTTATTGAGATGGTGGATGGTAGTTATTATCCAAACGGGACCTATGCCTGAGTAGCTATTACTTGCTGATTGATGCCTGTTGTTGTAGTGGTGACTAGTGTGCATGGTTTTAAATTGCTGCTGTGGTTGTGGTTTTGTCGTGGTTCTTCACATTGGGGGAAAATGTGGTTGATACGGCAACTGTGGGAAATGTGGCTGATGCAGCAATTGTGGTCTTGGTGAGTCAAAAAGGTTTGACTTTGCGGCTGTGGACCATTTTATTAAACCATGGTAGGGTGGTTGGTGTTTGGGTGGAGGACTCTCCAATCTCCATGTCTTGAACTTAAAACCATTTTAGTAGTGTTTGGGTTGGTCTTGTTCAAGGCAATGTGGATTTTGTCATTTTACTAGAGGGAGAGATCCATCTTATTGTGGTTAGGTTGAGGCTGATATTTAGAAAATTATGAACTTGATGTTCAGGATCGTTGTAAATTGAGTTCTAGGTAAAGTTCTTACCTAGTACGGATATACACTATATGGTCTCTTCTCATTTAGCAAGCTGGTTTTGTGTCCGGTCTGTTTTTGTAATGTTTGGTTTTGAACATAGAAATCTCATTTGAAGTAATGGTTGAATAAAATGTTTTTTTTTTTAATTTCGAATGCTGTTTATTTGTTTTCATCTTAGCACAAGTGGCGCTAAACTGGTGATAAAATTTAGATTTTCTGAGAGCTGATTTACAGAGGAGAGAAAGAGAAGGAATACTTCTGTAATGGTTTACTGTTTCACAAATGGAGACCGAAGGAATGAACCCTCCTTCCAATGTTCCCCTTATACAACTGAGCCACTGTTCAGTTTTCCAGGACTAACATAATGAATGCTTCTTCCTCTACCCTCATACTATTTAAGCTAAGTCCATAATCATATCAACTTTAACTGCCCAACCAATTCAATAACTACTTCCTGGGAACCTTTGAACCACAGCCACTGTCAAAATTTTCCCAGGTCAAATCTGTTGTCTTCTTTCTCAAGGAACTCAAACCAGCTCACTGCTGACCCCTCCATGATCATGAACGCAAGTTGAACCTTCTCATTAGGATTTATTTGTTGCACGTTGAAGAATTTCTCAGTTTGCACAATCAACCCTACCCGGTTCTTTCCATGGATGTTGGGCAATTTGATCTTTCTTGCCCAACATTTTGGACTTTTGGTTCATCAAAGAAGGACTGATAATTGTCTTCCTGTTATGACTCCACTTTCTCCTTATTTGGTCTTGTTTTTTGTGTCTTGTGAGTGGGTTGTTCATGGCCTTCTCAGTTTGTTGAAGCTTCTGCCCTGTTTCTTCATTCACTTATCCACTGATTGTCGAATTCCTTCAGTGCCAACCATATTTATCTGAATCTCTGATGAGTTAAAGGCCAGAGAAAGTAATTGCTAACTGTGATCATTGGTTCTCTTTGTCTAAAACTCCCCCTTGTTTTGCAAAAAGCTTCCATCTCTTTCATACCTGATTAGGGATCCGACATTTGGATTTAATAGTTAAGGGCTCAAGATAAAACGTTTTAGGTTTTAGAAAGAGAGGTGAGAGTTAGAGGCAAGATAAAGAGAAAGAACACTTCTGTAATGACTAACTGAATCACAGAGGCCAAAGGACAGAATTCACCTTCCACAGATTTCCCCTTCAAGTAAGGTATCCTTTTACCACTAAGCTACTTCCTAGATTCCCAAAACTAACAAATCTGATTTCTGCCCTCCTACTATTTAGGCTAAACTTTATTCTTAACAATTTCAACTGCACGACCAACTTCATAACTACTTTAACAAACTATTCTCTAGTCCTCACCACTTCTTGATCCCGAGTTCAAAATCCACTAAGACCAATTCGCCTCATATTAGCATACGTTCTCCTTGCTAACACAGAAAAGAACAATATGCTAATTCAAAATATTCACTTCTCCAAAATTGAGAAAGAAATGGCTCTCAGTGCTCGAGGCTCTTGCCTTGCAGGTTTGGGGAGAATAAAGTATGCAATTTCACCCTTGAAATGAGGGAGACTATTTTCAAGATTTGAACTCATTACCTCTAGGTCACAAAGCGGCAACCTTACCATTATACTAATTCTCACCCTCAAAATGATATAATGAATAATGATAAATATTTTGGGAACCATATTCATTATGGATGAGAGTCCCTTCCATTTCGTAAAGATGCCTAATTTATTTGCTTCTATTCATTATATACATTAGGGACCGGTTGTAATTATGACACTGGTTATTGAGATGCCAATATTAGTTACTGAGATGAAATTGATGGCTGCATTGAAAGTTGACAGTTCTTTTTGAGATGAAATATAACTCTTGGTCAATTTGATTGAAGAACACTAGAACAGTATCACTGATACCTATAGTACTATATCTAAGCTTTGTTATGTTATTAATTGGATTTATGGTTAGTTAATCGGATTTTCTACTTCTGTCATCACAAGCAATAGTCCATCTCAATTTTCATACTTCTCTTTTGAAGCACCGACTATAATATGTTCATGTCACTCATTCTTTATCATCAATTGTTGGGATGCCTTCAATCAACTTCTGTGTATATTTGTATACAGTGATTTAGCCTTTGTTTGCCAAAGAGGAAAGAAATGAAAGGAAAAGAATAGGTAAGAAATAGAATAAAAATTAAGGTTGTTTGGTAAAGGAGAAATAAGGTAGAAATTTATTTTTTATTAATAATTTTATTTGTAAATAATAAATAAAATTATTTTATTATTTTTTTTTATATTATTATTAGAAGTTTAACTTTTTATAAATAATTTTATTCCAAAGAAATAAATACAAATTATATTTT